CTTGTAAAAGACTTATTTTTTTGCAAATTCCTCCATGTCCAACATCCCAACCATGTTAACGCAGGTTTTCTGTCGCTATGATAAATATCGTCCAAAAAAGGAACATAGATTATGTCTGATGATATGGGTTAATGCTATTAATAAAACCACAACGAGTAAGAGGTGCAACATTTGGGGGATGGACACGCTTAAAGCTCTTACTCGAGGGGGGCGGGGGAGGGCATGGGCAATATATGTAACCTTAACACTTGTACCCCCATAATAGGCTAAAATAAATAAATAAATAAAATAAAACCTATCAAAATTGAAGATTTTGCAGGATGTAAGATGCAGTATTTTATGTGCCTCCAAGAGGGGGAAGTTTGCCAGTTTTCATTGGAAAATGTCATTAATTAAAATACTTCCAGATTCAGAAATATGAAAACACAAAACAGTACACCTTTGAAAGAAGTGCATTATATAACACATACTCAAAATATGGACGAGACGTTTTTTGGTTTTGGTTTTGTTTTTCTTTTTTGAGACAGGGTCTCACCCTATCCCCCAGGCTGGAGTGCAGTGGCTTGACCATTGATCACTATAACCTCAAACTCCTGGGTGCAAGTGATCCTCCTGCCTCAGCCTCCCGAGTAGCTGGGACCACAGGTGTGCACCACCACACCCAGCTAATTTTTATTTGTTGTTTTGGAGATAGGGGTCTTGCTATATTACCCAGGCTGGTCTTGAACGCCTGACATCAACTGATCCTCCTGGCCTCGGACTCCCAGAGTGCTAGGATTACAGGTGTGAGCCACCACGCCCCACCTGGAAGGACATTTTACTAATTTGGATTGTTCTAGGTAGAATGAAATTCCGGGACTGACTTAACACAAACACTGAAGCAGATGGCCAATTAAAGCTGTTGTCTGGCTCGCACTTGGAAATACTGGTCAAGACTGGAAAACTTGAGCTCTGAGGAATGAAAAAGAAGATGCACAAGGATTCTAGGTACCCAAACTGCGTCCTGCACCAACTTTGCTGGCTACATGCTAACGACCCCTCACACATCTCTGCAACTCCTTCAGCGCTCTGCTGCTGGTATCAATGACAGTCAATACCCCACTTGAAAGAAATCAGTCCATTAGTGAGGGATTTCTAAGGACATGACATCCTGAAGATGTCTGAGATAAGACATTGAGAAACGTGGCTAATTTTTTGTGACTTTTGCCATGAATGTCTGTTGTTCTGTAGAGGTTGCACACAGTTAAGGTAAGGTCACACTGCCCCATTTATTTACTTATTTATTGTCCATGTTAAAAATCAAAGACAGTCATGAGATTCTATAGTTAGGTCTTAGCTAGTAGCCTTTCCATCCTTTTCTAAAGACAAAGAGCGGGGAGAATATCTGCATTAAGGAAGGAAGGAAAACTGGAGCAGACCAGAACCCAGAACTCCTTCCATTTCATTATGCAGAGGATGGAATCTTGTTTAATATTTGCAACCACCGTGAAACTCCCTTATGCCCCCACAAACCATTATCACAATCCCGGCAGGCATGCTAGTTTTCAGATATTTTGGCATCCATTAAATTTATTTCCCTTCTTATAAAATGAGCCCAAATGTGCTTTTGATGTTTGAGGGTATATATTTTTTAAAAGTCTTTTAAAAAAAAAACAACTTGAATGGGAATAAAGGTATCTAAAGCAGCAGCAATTTTGCAATAGTGTTGCAATCACAGTTCTTCCATCTGGGGAAACCAAGCAGGAAACACAGTAGGAGTTTTAAACTAGATATTGTCAGTAGCTGTAATTTGAGTTTTAAAAAATATATATTGCCGATTTCATATCAGTTCTTGGAACATATATTAATGTGGATATAGTCGCAGTTTGTATCTACACCACCATGCCCATACATGTCTTCCATACTCCTAAAATAATGTACTCACGGTGCAGAAATTAATAGAATGAATTCAAAGATGCACATGCTTGACTTATAACACAGCTGCAGTTGAAATTCAGACACTTGGTACAAGGAGGAAAATTCTCTTTCCAGGTAGTGACTGCTAACCCATAGACAATGCACTAAACAAGACAGATTAAAGAATTCCGGATCACACTCAGCATTCCAGAGAACATGCCACGCTGCACATCAAACCAATGACCATCTCAGCAAAGCCCAAGATCAAAGATCACGTCTTCCATATCTCCGATCTAATAAAGTTCACGAGAGCTGCTTTAAGGAAGGAAGCATTTGACAAAATTTAGGGTACGGAGAGCCTCTAATTAAAGCACTCCCTGCAGAATTGAAAGCTTCTGGTATGAATTATAGGAATTCAATAAGCTACAACCTTCTGGAGAGGCTATTCACAAATGCACATAAAAGGAGACCAAAGGCAACACTATTATCGGGAGATGATCAGACAAGCACAGCCTCTGACCCGAGTTTGATAACATGGGCTGCAGACAGAGCCTCCACGAATAGGAAAAGAAACTGAGTGGCACAGGGACATGAAAAAAACCTCTAGAATCACCTAGATTTCCAGTGCATTATTATTTGAGCTTGTATACTAACTACAATAACTTTAATTCAGAAAAAAGAAAGGAAATAGAGTGAGCTAATGTACAGAAACTCTCCATTAACCCTCACTTCCAAGCTTTTAGGGAATAATGATAACAGGTATTCATAATTTTGGAAGCTGTACCATGCTTTGAATCCTCATGTAATGATGGGATTCAGAAATACATCCATGTAATGAATGTGATGTAAAATATAGTTTGAATAAACTACTATACATCATGCTAAGGGTTGCACAGAAAATATAAAGGTCATTAATAAACAAAGTAGAAATTTAACAATGCTGCACTGTGTCTTTCAGAAGTAGGTAATCCATGTACAGTATAAATAGTAACTTCCATAATCAGGATATTCAACCAACCAGAACGCCCCATGCCAAAGAATATTAGTGCTCACATACACAACTGGCACAAGACCCAGGATCTCTGCACAGAGACTTCCGTGATGTTGTGAACGTCCACAAAGATACAAGCACAGAGATTTGTATTCTAAAGGAGTAATGAAGTCATCTCACCCCATGGTTTGGCAATCACATGGAAGTTGGTAGCTATATAAAGCATATCTGATTTCCAAGAGTTGATTATCTATGTTCAAGGAGAAAAAGAAACCACAAGAGCACAGAAGTCAGACCTTTGCTAAATGATGAAACAAGAATGCAAAACACAGTAAGAACAGGTGCCTTCAAAAACAAATACAATTGCTTCTTAAAAAGGCTTATAATCTCTATGGCCATTTTCCACCTGTGTCTTACATATTCATAGCAATCATGATTTTAAATAGACTAATTCTTAACTTACTCGTATAAAAAACCCAGTGTTCCATTTAACCCAATAAAAACTTACTGTGATATCGGTTCCATAGGAATACCAAAAGATAGAGTGCCAGTTTCTAAAATCTTATAAAGACAAAAGCAAAAATGGCAGTCAATGGACATAATCACGTGTATCACAAAATCTAAGAATGTTTCACAAGACAAAGAATAGAATGGCTCAAGGGCTAGAGCACTTCTTGAAGGGAAAGATGGATACTGGACTCTGATTTAAATTCATGAAACACCAGAGAGGAACAGGGAACTTATTCTTTAAAATCTGGGTAGTAAGCAAAAATCTGGGAGCAGGAGAAAAAAAATCCCAGCGCTCCAAATTTGATATAAATATGGAGCCTGGGCAAGAGAGAGACAGACCTCATCTCTACCAAAAAAAAATTTTAGCCAGGCATGGTGGTGTGCACCTGTAGTCCCAGCTACTCAGGGGGCTGAGGCAGGAGGACCACCTGAGCCCAGGAATTGGGGGTCGCAGTGAGCTAGGATGACACCACTGCACTCTAGCCCAGGCAACAGAGCAAAACCCTGTCTCAAAAAAGAAAAAATATGGAAGCTATTGTTTAAATTATAGTAACTTCCCATTGAGCTGGAAGTCATTCATATGGAAATCTCAAGGTTAAAATGGAGGGAGTGAGAGATTAAATAGGTAACTTCTGGTGAGCATGTTACCAAAAAGCATGTTACCAATGGAAATTGGTGAAAGTGTTTTAGCCAAAGCCTATCTACTATCAGCTCTACTTACTCATGCAACTGACCCTTTTGGCAAGAGAGCTGGGGGGGGGGATGGGATGTACCAGGCACTAATCTAGGCTTTGACAACAGAGCCCTCAACTCCAGTTTGTATTCCTTCAAGCTTCCAATCCAAGAAGAGATGACCAGCAAATAAGCAAAGCCAACGCAGGAACATTTAATAACATCTATCACAGGGGAAACGAAAGGGTGAAACAGGAGCACATAAAAGTAGAATAACCTGGCTTTGGTGGGTCAGGGAGGCCCCTCGAAGGAACTTCCTCCAACCCAAGAGCTAGGAAGGGACACGGAGGGGTTAGACAGGTGCAGGGGACAGTGACTCAGCAGAGCGTCCCTCATGCACAGTGGCCTGAGGTCGCTTATTCTCAGGGGAACAAAAGTGGTCTCAACAGTTGGAACATCAAGTAGGAAGAGGCTACAGCAGGGAAGAATAAGGCCAGAGGAAGGCAGCGGCCAATCATTCAGAGGCTGGTCAGTTATTTGACTTTATTCTGGTGGCAACAGAGTCAAATTAAAAAAATTTAAGCCAAAAAATCACATCATGAGATTTTCACTTTTAGGATGCTCACTTCAGCCGCAATGTAGAGAGAAAGGACATGAAACCGGTCACAAGGAAATCAATTAGGAGATTTTGGATGAACAAGAGATGACAGCAGGAAAAACAGAGGTAAAGTGGTCTCCCCTTATGTGAGGTTTCATTTTCTGCAGTTTCACTTACCCACGGTCATCCGCGATCTGAAAATATTAAATGGAAAATTCCAGGAATAAGAATTCCAGAAATAAACTCGTAAGTTTTGAATTGCATGATGCTCTGAGTAGCTTGATTAAATCTCACACCACCCTGCTCCATCCTGTCTGGGACATGAATCTCCCCTTTGTCCAGCAGGTCTACACTGTCTACACTTAAGTCACTTTAGCAGCCACCTCAGTTGTCAGATTGACTATGGCCGTATCACAGTGCTTATGTTCAAGTCACCTTTATTTAACTTAATAATGGCCCCAAAGTGCAAGAGTTGCCAGATGCCAGTAATTCGGACCTGCCAAAGAGAAGTCTTTAAGTTGCTTCCTTTAAGTGAAAAGGTCAAAGTTCTCGATGTAAGAAAAAAAATTGTATGTTGAGATTGCTACAGTAAGATCTAAGAGTAAATCTTCTACCCATGAAATCACAAAAAAGGAAAAATAAATTCTCGTTCACTTTGCTGTCACACCTCAAACTGCAAAGCTTGTGGTCACAGAGCATCGTAAGTGCTTAGTTAAGATGGAAAAGGCATTCAATCTGTGGGTGAAAGACGTAAACAGAAACATGGTTCAACCGATGACTATGGGGTTCAGTACTATCCACGGTTTCAGGCATCCACTGGGGGCCTTGGAACACAACCCCCACAGATAAGGGGAGAATACCGTAGCAATAATACCGTAGGGAATAGAATTTAAAAAGTGGATCAGTTCTTAAGAGTTTAAAGAGAAAATTTTTTGTCGTCATTCATTTGCATAGCGAATACACTGGAGCACTGGATCGTATTCCTACAGCTTCTTGGCCTGCTCTCACTAATTGATTCAATGGCAAGTGTCTTAGTTTCTTTGTGCTGCTATAACAAAATACATGAGACTGGATATCTTATAAAAAAACAGGGGTGCGGAAGGTCAGGTCCAGGACTCTTTCTCCTTGCTGTTCAAGAAATGTCTTCGCTTTCAGAATATGCCTTGGGCATGTCTCGTCTGAGTGCCCGGCTATTTGGTGAAGTTGGCAGGCCCACTGATTCCAAGCCCATGAAAGTGGTGAAACTGTTTAGTGAACAGCCTTTGGCCAAGAGGAAGGAGACTTACGACCAGTATCCAAATCACAACACTTATTTTGCACTCATGGGAACGCTCAGATTTCTTGGCCTCTATAGAGATGAGCATCAGGATTTTAGGGATGAGCAAAGTCATCTAAAGAAGCTTCGTGGAAAGGGGAAACCAAGGAAAGGAGAAGGGAAAAGAGCAGCAAAAAAGAAATAATATTGACTCATTGAGAAAGAAAATTTCTCCCTCAGTGACAGGGAAAAGAAATTGTATTTATCATCTTTCCACATGTTGGAGGAATGCAGTCTTCCTAAGTGAAGGTTATTTGGAAGAACATATCATGTCCGAGTTGACGTCTCACTCAGTTAAATTGTGACTGATTTCTTGAACACATTTGAATGCAAAATTATTTTGGCCTTGGCTTTGTAATCTGAGGTTTACCTAATTCTCTAATGAAATGCATACATTAAAAAAAAATTTATTTCTCATAGTTCTGAAGGCTGGGAAGTCCAAGATCAAGATGCCAAAGAGTTGGCACCTGATGAGGGTTCAAACCTTAGCTTCCACCTTGAAAGCTGCATGTTCTAGAAGGGACACACCCTGTGTGTCCCCACACGGTGTAGGGGACCCAAGGGCAAAGGGGCCTGCCTACTTCCCTCCAGCCCTTTATCAGTCTGTCTTTAGGACTGCGTCGCCTCCTAAAAGCCCTACTTGTTAATACCAGCACATTGGCAATTATATTTCAACATATGATTTTATTTTTATTTTATAAATTTTTTTTTGAGACAGGGTCTCGCTGTGTCACCCAGGCTGGAGTGTAGCAGTGAGATCACACCTCACTCAAACCATGAATTCCTGAGCTCAAGCAATTCTCCCTGCCTCAACCTCCCAAATACCCGGGGACTACAGGCGCACACCACCGTACCTGGCCAACTTTTTTGATTCTGTAGAGACGAGGTCTCCATATGTCACCCAGGCTAGTCTTGAACTCCTGGCCTCAAGCAATCCTCCTCTGTCTCAGCCTTCCAAAGTGCTGGTAATTACAGGCATGAACTATCAGCCCCAGGCCCAGCATATGAATTTTTAGGGATACATCCTGACCATAGTAGAAAGAGGGCTAAGGAATTGGAAATAAGTCACAGTGTCTTGTTAACAGTGGTATAACAAGGTTCTAGGGGCATACTTCAACCTGCTTGACATACTAAGATGGAGAGCTACTTTTAAAAAACTTTATAGAAGAAAGAGTAAGAGCTCTGGGACTGAAGGTCTGGTTATAGCTGGCTAGGATGAATAGGGTGGACGGAAGCTGTACCCAATATTCAGAGAATTCCCTCCTGGGCAAGTATTTCCTAACAAGGCAAGGAAAATTAAGTTGCTTGGCCTTGGTACAGAAGCACAGGTTAATTGCTAACAAGGATGAAAGGTACATGTTGGGGTTTGACCTGAATGATGGCTTTCAAAACCTTCCCAATCCAGTCTTTATGATCTTTTTCAAGTTGTTCAAAAGAAAGGAGTTGTAGAGGATTAAAATTGGCTACAAATTATTTGGCACACCTCCCATCGAGAGATGAGGTCTACAGCCCTCTCTCTTTGAACCTGAGCAGTGAATGTCACTGAACCTACCAGAGGATATGGCAGCAGTGACTCCATGCCAGTTTCCCACTCTGGTCATAGAGCCACCGGCAGCACTCACTTCCTGTCTCCATGACACTCGCTCTTGTCAATCAGCTTGACACAGAAGAAGTGTGAATACCCTGATACCACCATGCTGTGACAACCCAAGCCACCTGGAAAGGCCAGGTAGGACAATATGCGACCTGGAGAGACAGGCCACAGAGAATAGAGGTGCCACACGTGGGAGTGAAGAAGCCATCTTAGAAGTGGATCTTCCAGCCCCAGGTACAGACTAAAAACAAACCCCCCAGCCAAGGCCTTCCCAACATCCTCGCCCAGAAAATTGTGAGCTATGTAAAATCGTTGTTTTGAGCCACTAAATATTGAGATGGTCTATTATGTAGCAAAACACAATCAGGATGAAATTCTAAGTGAACTAAGAAAACAAGGCCATGTTTTTAGAGTCCTAAGAACTGCTATTTTTTTTTGTATTAAAGAACCTCTTTCTTAACCAGATCCGTGACAGTAGGTACTATGTAGACTAAGCAAAATAAAATACATTATGCATAATGAAAAGGGAAAACTCAGTTACCTTGAAAACATGTATATGAAATAGCTCAAGTTGCACCGAAGTTCACAACATGTCTGTTAACATCTTGCGAGACGTTAAAATTTTAAGTGCTTATTAACAAAGATGTCGTAAACTCATAAAAATTCTCACATGAACTTTTTCAATGACAGCCTGTCACTCATATTTGTCTCCGCTTTGCCTGATGTATCAGAAGAATAAAGAGAAGGGAAAAGAAAAAAGAACACAAAAGCAAAGAGACCTGTTTATCTTATTTCCAACATAACACTAGATGAGGACTTGAGGGAAAGAGGGGGAAAAAAAAAATAGTAATTCTCTGGGATTCCAATAAATTTTCCTGTGTTCAATACCACCTTCCTTGCAAAAATATTACTGAATATACCCAAACTAAACTACTGTGGGCAGTCAAATGCTTTTCATATTGTACCTTAAATATAAATTTCATAAACTTTTCAGGCTAAGTAATTTGTTTACTTTATTCAAACTCCAAGCTTTGTAAATAGTATAGGGTAGAAAGTCAACCCTCTAACCCTGTCTCTGGCCACTCAATATTCTTCCCTGAAGGAAACAAATATTTTCAGTATCCTGGATTTCTAGGAATATTTTGTTTAATAAAAGCACATATGCTTTTATATGAATAATTATATTTAAATATGTATGCAGACTTTATAAATTTTATATTTGTGTAAATGTCCCCTTTCTCTAAACAAACATTACATAATGCCCAGAACTTTTCCCCCCATTGTATTTTTTGGATATTTTCCCAAATTAATACATATAGAGACATCTTATTCTTTTGTAGAATAATAATACATGGTATATTACTCCATATGTAACCAGAACCCTATGGATGGAAATTAGCGTGCCTACAGTCTTTGTTCCTTACCAACAATGCTGTGATGAATTATTTCTCACATACATTGTTGGCTAGTTTGTGATATATCTAGCATTTCCAAAATGTGAAAGTTTGGGGTCAAAAGTTATATGTATTCATAATCTAAAAAATCACTGTCAGTATTGCCTATATAGAGACTCCATAATGTTACAATCCCAAAGACAATGGTTAATTTTATCCATAGATATGACAACAGTATTATCCAGTGTTTAGACTTCTGCCAATTCATAGGCGAGAAATTGGTAGTTCAGTGATTTTGTAATTCTCTTTAGATGTTGTTTAAGAGCCATTTGTGCTTTCTATTCTGTGACTGGTTGGTTCATATTCTTTGTCCACTTTTCTACTGAGTTGTTGGTCTCTTCCCTATTGATTTCTAGAAATGATTTTTAAAGATTTAGTTCTTTGTCTATAATAAAAGTTTAAAAAATTATTTTCCCAAATTGTTCTTTTGAATTTACTTACCGTGGCTTTTGCCAAGGAGAGTTTTTTAAGTGTAGCTGAATTTATCAAACTTTTCTCCTACATTTAGGATTATAATTGTGAAGATTACTTTGGATTTATTTTGTTTTAATGTGTGCTGCCAAAAAAAGAGCAAAAAATATTAGTCAAGTGTCATTATTACGAAAACACCATCATTGAGAAAATCTTTATAGAATTAAAAATGTCTTCTAAGACCTTATTAATGAATAATTTATTTCCAGTATCATTTGGATCAATATACTTACAGTGCAATAAAAGAAGAGAAGACAATTTCATGCTTTTCACTATACAATATAATTTGACTTATAATTTTTGATGTTGGTAGCTTTTTCCTTACTTTTAAAATCACACATGCAATCAAGTGTTAGGAACAGCATGAAAAGAGAATAAGGATCAATCAAGTCAAAATTACTGGAAATTCCTCCATGCAGGATCCCAACTATTACTTATGTGTATCTTTCCTGTTTTGTCTAAATGCACACGTATATGTAACTTTTCATAAAAAAAATTCAACCTGATTGGTTCATGTTGACATTATATTAGTAACAGCCATCTGTGTCAATAACTATAGAGCTACACCTTTATTTTAACAGTTAGATAACATCTTCTATGCTTAGATGTTTTTCTAATCTCCTAATGCTGGATACCTAGGCTGCTGTTTTAGTTTTCGCAAAAACAAAAATATTTATTTGTATATGTCCTTATATCTTCCATTTATCCTCTTCTATTTCTTAGAGAAATTTAGAAAATTAAAATATGTGAGTCACTTTGGAAGGATTTTGATGCACAATGATAAACTGCCCTCTAGGAAAATTCATATCACTTTATCAATGTGTGTATCTTTCTACCTTCTACATTCATACCAATACCAGCACTAGGTATGCTCAAACCTTCAAATGCTTTGTTAATCTTAAAAGTGGAAAAAAAAAATAGTACTTCCATATTTTAGCTTGCTTTATTATCAATAATTTTAAAAACAAAAGTAAACCTTTATCATTTATAATTCCACTAATACAAATCATTTCTTGCAGTAGTCAATGGCCTAATAACTATCCCTAAGGCTGTGCACAGTAAAATCAATACATTTCTTTTTTGTTAGGTGGGAATTGTTTAATGCTACAAAACTTTTCCTTCCTCCTGGAGGATGAAATCTTCAGTCTGTATGTGTGCAAGAACCGCTGTTTTGGCTCTATAATCTTCAAGAACACCATGAGTAGGATGGCACCGGCTGTAACTTAGTAGCAATGAACATACTACCCTGACAGTGTCACTTTCCACAACATTGGAGACTTAAAAATATTTACACTGCACTGTTTAACCTGTCTGCTTTGTAAATGCTATCAAAATGCATAGATACATTTCATATTTTGAATCCAGTTGTTTTAAATACCACCGTCAGGAATATTAACAGAAATCCCTGTGTAAGATCACCCCTAGCTTTAAAAAACTGTAAGTGTCTTAAAGGTTCATGAGTCACATGGGGGACCAGGTAGACAGGAAAAAGGATTTTCAATGGTGTTTTGGAAATAAAAAGAGTCTCAAGGCTCTGGAAATGGGGCCTCTACTAAAAGTACTTGCAAGCATGTGGATTCCGGCAAGTAACTGTCAGCCACCAAAGGCTTAAGTAGGTTTATGCTACTGTTTTCAACTTGGCTGCTTATAAAGTTTAATTACAAACACACACACACACACACACACTCTCACACCCCTGTTTAAAGTCAAAAGAAATATCCTCACTAGAACAGCACAGAGTCTCAAAACATAAGTCTTTCTGAAACAACTTTTTAGATTGATTTTTCAGAATCTTTCCTTTCTTGCTAAATGAATATTAATATAAACACTGTCTACTTAATGACCGTAAGGGGTTGTGCTGAAAATAAAAACTGCAACAATCTGCAAGCATTTGATGGTCATGAAAGAAGAGTGTGCACAGATTGGAAATCAAAACAATTCCAAAAACATTAAGACAGCATGTTCTTACACATTTCTCTAAACATAATGCTTCCCATTCCCCC